AGGGCATGGCCACAGGCAAGGTAGTTCGAGCCTGGAGGGCAAGGAGGAGTTCATTTCGACCTTGGCAGGCAAGTCAAGTCTTAGAACAGGAAGAAAGAAGGCTACAAAGATAGCTTGAGGTTCACTGATGAAGGACATGGGAAGTCAGGTCAATCAGTTGGTTTTACCCTCAGAAAGAGAAAAGCCACTGCAGAACTCTGAGCAAAAAAAAAAAAAAAAATGTCACAACAACGGGGCATTTCAGAAAGATTAATCGTACTGGACATGAGGAATCAGTTGAGACTTGTAAGGAGTCATGGCTTCCCAAGGAAAAGCTCAATCTGCTGGCCTGGGAGTGGAATGAGGTGGAAAGGGTGAGGGCTGAGGACCTGGGCTGTAGGCCGCCCCCCACCACCTCCCTTCCTTCCCTCCCGCCCCCTCCCTGGGGATGAACACTATTCTAAAGCCAACTCTGGCAAGTTAAGATTAATCGTACTGGACATGAGGAATCAGTTGAGACTTGTAAGGAGTCATGGCTTCCCAAGGAAAAGCTCAATCTGCTGGCCTGGGAGTGGAATGAGGTGGAAAGGGTGAGGGCTGAGGACCTGGGCTGTAGGCCGCCCCCCACCACCTCCCTTCCTTCCCTCCCGCCCCCTCCCTGGGGATGAACACTATTCTAAAGCCAACTCTGGCAAGTTATGTCTGTCTGTTTGTCTGTACATTTGTATGTTTATATGTAAGTATTTTGTTTTCTAAATCTCAAGTCCAATAACTTCGTCACTCCTGCTCCAGCCTATCTCTGAGTGAATTCTAAAAATCTCTGAAGGAGTGGTGTTGTGAAAACCTCATTTGCTGGAAGGCTCAGGGTTCCCATCTTAAGTCAGTTGCTTTCCGGGTTGGGTAACACTACTAACAACTTTTCTGTAGCTGCTCAGCTTATATCATGAGCTGTTTACTCCCTTCCCATCTTCCCATTTGCTCTCACAAATGACACATGGACACACATTGAACAGCAAATGCCTTTGCTGCAGAGAACTTAAGCTTCTTAAAGCATCTTAGTCCCTGTTTTTACTTAACCAAATACTTAACAGCAATAGGGTAAAAAATAAACATATAATTCTTTCAAAGTACTAGGCTACTGTGGGAATGGTATTATCAGTAGGATGAATGATAATACTTTGAGTCAGATTTGCTGCTTTTTAAGATTTATAGAGTAAATTCAGAATATTAGATCCTGATACAAGAAATTCAGAATATTAGATCCTGATACCAGAAATTGGCAAGTCTACTTGATAAACGAGGTTGCGCCCCGTTCATTTTCAATTGCCTTTATTATCAATAAAACCTGCCTTAGTACTTGAATAGAACTCAAACGGCTAAGGACACACAGACAACCTGAAAATTCACCTGTATACAACTGTAATTGTAGAGACTTTTAAACTCATGGTGGATTGCCATTAAGACCTTAAGACCATGGACTATTACTACCTATAATAATGTGCTAATTTTCAGTTGGACTAAAACCACACATCACTGTTTCAAAAGTATATGTAACTGCAGAGCCTTTGAAAACAACAGTTCACATACGAGAGCCCAATGCAGAAGACTGAAACCAGCCTCCCTCCATGTTAAATGTGGTGTTTCCTCTTACTTGGTTGTGTAATGGTACAGATCTGCTCGTTCTGATGTTTGTTACAGTTTGAATGGAAAGCTTAGTACGTCAGGGGTAACTTGGTTAAGTTAACTGGCTGCCCAGACCCCACAAGTCAGTGGTGCCTTATTTGGGCACTGCCTTCTCGTTGTAGTCCCTGTGTGCATGAAAATTCAGTTGCTAACACAGCAGCTGGTGATCAGCTTTGAGAACTTACTCATGCCAAACAAACTCCTAGAAGACAATTCCTACAGTTGGGTTGTGGTCGCATTCTGTCCATGTAGGTACATCCACAAAGGACACCAGATCATAATCAGAATGTTGCTGACTAAGTGGAAAACGGGATCTAGGAGAGGCAAGTGGATGATCTGGATGGCCAGAGGCACAAGGTGCACAGGGTGTCTCAAGCATTCACTCCGTGAAAGGTGGCAGAATACTGTCAACGTTTCTCTCTTCGCCTACCTTTTTCTAGGTTTCATTTCTGATCAGCATTCCTCTGCTCACTTCAATCTTCCTTTACCAAGCTTGTCTTTGAGTTCAAAGTCTTCACTGATGCTTGGTCTATTGGCCATTTTTTGTCCTTCAAACTGCATCTAAGTATCTGTCCTGATGCCTGATGTTTTCTTTTTCATTTCCCCATTTAACTGTCACAGTTTGACTGTCTTACTTCCAAATTCTTTGGAGGCTCTATGTACAATATGAATATACATACACATACACACAAATACCAATTTTTATATATATATATATACACACACATATATATTAAATACATTATCCAAAGACTTTATATGGACTGAGCGTAATTTATATATTCATCAACCCAAGAAATGTAAGTAGCTCTTATCGGATGTTTGCTAAAGGTATCAGAATCATAAACCCTCATGCTATTGCTGGTCTGAATTTTTTTAACTTTTTCTTTCAGATTAAGAATGACCGAAAAGAAATCACAGCTTTGTACCAGAGCCAGTGTTTATACTCAAGTGCCTGATGGAGGATGGGGCTGGGCAGTAGCTGTGTCTTTTTTCTTCGTGGAAGTCTTCACCTTTGGTGTCATCAAGTCCTTTGGTGTCTTCTTTAATGACTTAATGGACAGTTTTGATGAATCTAATAGCAGGATCTCATGGATAATATCGATATGTGTGTTCATATCAACATTTACAGGTTAGTACAGCGCTCAGCTTAAACGTAACATAAGCACACGCCTCTTTTAATTTGCCTAACTGTGTAATGGACGGTATGCATTGTGTATGCAATGCATTTCCTCGATGACCTCTGGGTACTTTCTAGCCTCAGATCATATGGTTTTCGGGGGTTGAGGATGTCAAGAGAAAGGGGAACTGAAGAGAGAAAATAAAAGCCTATTTGCCAGCTTTGACTGCCTTTGCTTTAAAGTGTATCTATTAAACACCTACTATATGCACATTCTTAGGACGCTGAGGACTGCAGTATCTCCTAGGTCTGTGGGGGATGGAGTCATTTTCTAAAGAAACAACATCAGAAGTACTTGGCATACTAGGCCCTGGTGTTACGAAAACATGCTTAGGTTGGAAACGTGAAAAAGTGGCTACGTGAAAGACAGAAGCTATGCACATCATGATTCATCAGCCACTCTTGATTTTTCTGTCCCATCGCTATGCTTCATTTGGTGTGCAAAACTGAGAATTCACTATATTTTATATCAATTTTGAAAGTCAAATGGAACGAAGCTAGAATTTGACCCTAAATGAGATTTTAAAAAAGAATCCAAAGCAGTGAGTATAGAAAAAAATCATTTACACAATCATAGGAAAGCCCATTTTCCTCATAGAATGACATAAATTAAGTGCATATCTAATTTTCTAGGTGCTACGGTGAGTCAAAACCTTTTAAAAATATAGATACGAGTTTTACAGAATTACACAATTACTTTGGCTCTCTCTTTAAGGAGCCCGAAGAATATATTTAAACGAGTACTAAAATACAGCCGACCGCTGAACAATGTGGGGATTAAGGGTGCCAACCTCCCGATGCAGTCAAAAATCCATGTATAATTTTTGACTCCCCAAAAGCTTAACTACAATGTCATCCCTTGGTATTTATGGGAGATTGGTTCCAAGACACCAACAGATACAAAATCCATGGATGTTCAAGTCCCTTATATAAAATGTCATAGATCAATGCTCACAGCCAGCCCTCCACATCCATGGGCTCCCAACCACGCATCGAAAATACAGTTTTCCATCTGTGGATGCCTGAATCTGCAGGTGCAAAACCTGAGGATAAGGAGCACCAACTGTATCTGTATTTTTAAAAATTTGAGTATATGTGGACCTGCCAAGTTCAAACCCGTGTTGTTCAAGGGTAAACTGTAATTCCTGACTGACTTAAGTATCACGGCATAAAACTGTACTATATAGTGTATATCATCCAGTGTACATACAGTGTACATAAGTCTTGTACGTGTTCAAGACTTATGAGAAGGAATCTTATTAAAGCTAATTCTTATGTGTTATGCATTATCCATCATCTTTCCACGTTTGAGACTTTAAAGAACGAGTCTTAGGAACACTCACGCCTCCAGGCGTTAACATGTCATGTGATGCTCTTTTAATGCAGCTCCCCTCTCCACTGTCCTGAGCAACCGTTTTGGACACCGCCTGGTGGTGATGGCGGGAGGACTGCTCGTCACCACGGGAATGGTGGTGGCGTCCTTCGCTCGTGAGGTTTACCACATGTACATCGCGATTGGCATCATCTCTGGTAAGTGTTTCTCCTGGGCTCGAAAATTCTCCAGAGACTTTATTAGAAGGACAAGGAAGGAGAAGGAGGGGCTCAAACCCAAGTGTATTTCTTTCTCTCTTTAAAATGAATAGTGTCCTGAAGCAGTGCTTTTAAACTGGGCTGTATGGACTCCAGGGGATACTGGAATCTGTTCTCAATGCCCAAAATTTTATATCCGATTTTAATACTTAGCAATGAGGAAAGCAAAACTTCTCTTTCATGATAATTAGCTACCAAAATGCACCATCTTCACAAGACCTCAGTTTTTAAGCCAGTATTCCCAAATCTGAGTCCAAGGATCCTGAGCTATAGGGTGTGCTGTGTGCTGGACTTATTCTTAGAAGTCTGAGAAAACTGTTTCCCCTTTTAAAGGAATTCATGTGTTACTGACAGACTGTGTGTATATTAATTTTGCACACTTTAAAATTTTTCATATATTTCTGCACATATCAAACTTGTTTATTTCCAAATAGAAGTCTTATATATAAAACATATATCCAACTCTAGTCTGTCCACTGTGAATTACAGACATTTGAAAAAAATACAGGAAGCAAAAACAACAACAACAACAACAACAATTTTTATACTCCTAATATCCCAAACACTGGTTGCAGCTTCTCCAGACCACTATTGAAACCCATTTTTCTTTGCTACAGCACCTTTTCCCAGAATGAACTACTGGGCTCCCCGCACTTATCATTTAAAACATAAACACAAAACTCCCAGATCTTCCAATGCACCTTTCTGATATCAGTCAGTGTGTGGTTCTCACTGTTCTTTTTGACTTTCACAGGTTCGGGATACTGCTTTAGTTTTCTCCCAACTGTCACCATTCTATCTCAGTACTTTGACAAAAGGCGCTCTGTGGTCACTGCCGTTGCTTCTACAGGAGAATGTTTTGCTATATTTGCTTTTGCACCAGGTAGGTGAACCATCACAGTCTATGCACTAATGTGGAACTGGGGAAGCCACTCCTATTCTTGCTGCACTAACTCGCCCACAGTCGGCTACTGGATGACCGTGACTGTGTGCAGTGGATACATTGCCTGTTTCCTTATTTTCTCCGGCATATTTGGGGTGTAGCCTCCCTAACTCCCATGTAGAAATTCAAATATTTTATTCCTAGTCTGACGTGACACAAATACGAAGATACATGGCACGAATTCAGTGTAAAGCTTGAAACAGCCATTCCAAAATAAATAATTTAATGATTTGGGATTTTGCATACTATCATTTCTCTCCTTTGTCAGAGAGCCATATTCGATGTGCATTTAAATTGTGCTCATAAAGTCGGTGTCATTGTGTCCTGTGTGTGAGTCATCTCACAGTGAAATTTTTATCTCTAGTATAATTCTCTAACTTAATTTGTGAGTTACATAACATGTTGTAGATAGATATCCTTGGACACCCATTGTCATTTCTTACGCTGCCATTTTTGATGAATGTGTCAGTGGATTATACTTTGTCCAAAGGAGATACATGTAGCAGTATTTAGGGGTGACATGTCATAATAATCTGAAGGTTTTCTGACAGTTCAGAAAAATGTATTGGTGCATATAAACAGAAAGATACAGCAGAGAGACAGGGGGAATGTTAATTGTTGAATTTAGGGGAAGTACAGGCAGGCATGTGGAGTCATTCTTTTCAGTTTTCTGTTGGTTTCCAATTTTTCGGAACCGAATGTTAAGGGGAGAATCAGTGGTCTGAGTGCCCAAAGGTTAGAAAATGCATCTTGATCAGTTGGGGTTAAGGACATTCCACAAAGCAGAAACTGGAGAACTAGATCATTTCATTCTGGGATAATCACTGAACCTTTGAGTCTTAGTTTATTTTGTACTTAACCCATTACTACTAAAGACTGACTGTATAACGCTCTACCTCAGGTCGAGAATCCCATTTTTAAAAGGCCAGATAGTAAATATTTTAGACTTCATGACTGTAAGTCTCTGTCACAACTACTCAGAAGGTGGTTCAGCACAGAAGCAGCCGTAGATACCTCAGTGAATGCACGCGGCTCTGTTCTAGTCAAGCTTTATTAGCAAAAACAGGCAATGGATTGGATTTGGCCTGCAGGCTGCTGTTTGCCAAACCTTGAAGTAGCTCAAAAATTTATGTCACTTCCTGTGCCTCTACTTGGAAAAACAAACCCTCCAGAGCTCTTTGGAGACCTGGGATGAAAACTTTTGTTTCGTATATAATAATCATTATGCACATTTTCTCCTTATTTCTCCCACAAGCACCAAAACCTAGAATAAAGGATAGTACAGGGTGACTGCATTCACACTGACGAGTCGATTTTTTAAAAAATTCGTACTAAATCTAAGTCCCCAGTTCTACTCAATATTTTCTCGCGGGTCTTGTCTCCATTTCTGATCTTACGTGTTATGTCTCCCCCTCCCCTGTCTATCCAAGCGTTCACAGCCCTGAAGGAGAACATTGGCTGGAGGTACAGTCTCCTCCTCGTGGGCCTACTACAGTTAAACATTGTCATCTGTGGGGCATTGCTGAGACCAATTATAATCAAAGGACCCGGGTCACCGAAAATAACTAGACAGGAAAATCCGAAAGAAGTACAGTATATACTTGAAAATGAGAAAACGCGGACCTCGATAGACTCCATTGACTCAGGAGTAGAACTAACTACCTCACCTAAAAATGTGCCTAGTCAGGGTAACGTGGAGCTGGAGCCAAAGGCCGACGTGCAGCAACAGGTCCAGGAGACCAGCTCCAAGCAAAAGGATGGGAAAGTCCCATTATTGGACTTCTCGATCTTGAAAGAGAAAAGCTTCATTTGCTATGCACTATTTGGTCTCTTTGCCACATTGGGATTCTTTGCACCTTCCTTATACATCATTCCCTTGGGCGTCAGTCTGGGCATTGAAGAGGACCAAGCTGCTTTTTTATTATCTACAATGGCAATTGCTGAAGTTTTTGGAAGAATCGGAGCTGGTTTGGTCTTCAACAGACAGCCCATTCGTAAGATCTACATTGCGCTCATCTGCGTTACGTTACTGACCGTGTCTCTGTTTGCCTTTACTTTTGCTACTGAATTCTGGGGTCTAATGTCCTGTAGCATATTTTTCGGTGTTATGGTTGGAACAGTATGCGGTACCCACATTCCACTGCTTGCGGAAGATGATGTCGTGGGAATTGAGAAGATGTCCTCTGCTGCTGGAGTCTACGTCTTCATTCAGAGCATAGCAGCCCTGGCTGGACCTCCCCTCGCAGGTAATTTAAATACATAAAATCCTGTCAGTTATCCTCTCCGCACCCACTTTTTAAATTTAGAGTTGGACACGTGCGACATCTGTAGCATTTCTGGACCTGAACCATATTAGTTAAGATGACACTGTTTAGGGCCAAAATGTTAAGGAAGACTGGGGATAGCTTTGCAGGATGTAAATGGAGATCATATTATCAAGGAGGCATTGTAATTTAGATTATATCATTCATAATGTTTACTATTCCTTCATTAATAGTGCTAGCTTCCTGTTCGAGTCTAATAAAAATATTTATCGATTTTTACATTTAATTAGAGAGCTGGCAGAATTACAGCTCTCTTGATTTAAATACGAGGAAATCAGAAGTCGAAGAATGTAAGCCGGTAGTCGTATGATCAATCGGCGACTAGTCAGAACAGAACCTGTGTCTGCAGTCCGAGCTGCCCAGGCTTTTCCTACCATCTTGCCTAGTAAGTGCCAGAGCGGGTCCCATGGATTAATGACGTCATTACCCTCTGACTTTGGAACTACAGAACTCAGGGACTTCTGTAAGTCCTACCTTCCCTTCTTAGGAAGGGTGTTAGGGAATTGAGCACAGAGCAGCACTCTGAGTTTCCTCAGTTGATGACTACAAAATATTTCCTTGTAGCAAGGGCATGGGCATGTTTCATTCTTAGACCTGAAACAGGTCCCTAAAGTTACTGTGACTAGAAATCTTACCCCATGTTAAAAGACACCTGAAATGAACTTGAGTGAAAATAATAGAGATCTTTCCTCTCTCAAAAATATTACCTTTTCAAAGAAGCATGCACCCAATTGTCCCCTGATTTAGAGTCCCTCCTAGGACAGATTAGCCCATGAAGACATTTTAGTGACAATTTTCTCGGTGCGAACAGCATGTTGTATGTACGACTTATCTCTTCTCCCCGGTCTAGAAAAGATTCTGAGCTTCAACACTCTTTTTTCTTTAGAGAAACAAGATAAGACAAAGAAGACAAAGAAACCGAGAAGCTTCTGAGTTTGAGGGGCGCCTGGGTGAGAAGGGTGTGTGTCCATGCTGCTAACAGATGTGAATGCTTTCTCCCAGGTCTGCTGGTGGACCACAGTAAGATATACAGCAGAGCCTTCTACTCCTGCGCAGCTGGTATGTCTTTGGCCGCAGTGTGCCTCGCACTTGTGAGACCGTGTAAAAAGGGACTGTGCCAGCAGCATCATCATGCAGATGAAGCAAAGGCAGAGAGTTACCGTGGGAGAGCTTTACAAGACATACCTGAAGACTTTCTTGAAATGGACCTTGGGAAAAATGAGAATAAAGTTCCTGTGAAAATGGAGTCAGTATGACAGGCTTTCATGTAACATCGGCCACCGTGTTGGCTGGTTTGTGGGGGATGGTGGGGGACAGGGGACATAGTGGTCTAGGGGGGCTAACTACTCTACCCACTTTGAAAAAGACATTTTAAAGGGAATGCATATGTGAACACTGCTACCAACATCTTTTTATTTTAATTTTTCTTTTTCGCTTTT